TATATTTTTAAATATTTTTAAAAAATTATAATTTTTATTGCGATTTCCGACCCCCCTAATTAATTAAACTTATATATAATAAAATCTATTAATTAAAAAAATTAAAAAACTATCGGAGGTCGTTTTTGTCATCAGAAAGCAGCTTTAAATAACTTTACCGAAGGAAAATCGGTGCACTACAACTTTAGAACGATTAATTAATTTAGATAAAAAACTCCCATTAAAAAAACATTAAAAGGCGATTAAGCCTTAACAAAGGCTCATTAAAGTCGCGATAAAATTTTTTCGCGCGGGCAAAAAATTTGAAAAAATTTGGGGACAAAAAACATTCCAAAAATTCAAAAAAAAAAAAAACATTTTTTCAAAAGTGGCCTAAACGACCGTTTTTTACGTAACGCTATAAAACTTGTTCGAGTCACACTCGAGCGCGGGCAGGAAGGGTATTAAAGTATGACAAAAAAATTCTGTATATACGTTGTATATTATGTCTTCATTCATCTACAAAATCAGCCATTTTCTTTTTTGGAAGTGCAAGCAATGGAAGCAGCAATCAAACTTGTTTGATAGCTGCTTCCTGCTTGCGCATGTAGAAGCGTCATCTAGTGGTCACTGCATGATATGCACATTTGGTTGAACCAATTTGTCCTCTCCCCTTGGAAGTGTGTTCACTGCTGTGTATGATGTACCCTTAGAATGTGTCATAGTTTTTCTGTACTATATCTGTTCAGCAGTTTCAGTGCATTTAGTATTAGCTTATTGCCAATTTTATAGCATGTGGCAATATCAGTATTGATAGACAAGTTTTAATAGATTAATAACAGTAAAATATTTTGTTAGTTATCAGAAAATACATGATCTAATATTTACTCGAATTTTCATTAGACTCTATCCAAGTATTTTATTAATGATGTAATTAGTAAAAAGTAATCATATTCTCTTCCATAATATTTGAGGAATTTTACCCTGTGTATTGACTAGTTCAATGTTGTGTTACAGGGATGTTTTTGTAAATATTTCTAGCATTCTTACTACTTACAAGGAGAACTGGGAGGTTGTCATCACCGATTTCGACGAAATTTTGTGAATGTGTAATATTTACTCATACTTAAACTCTTCCAAAGGTACAGGATCCACTATTCAGGCATTCTTGAGAAAATCAGAAGTAAAGTTTTTCTAGAACTGTTAATACCTCTGCAGAAGTGCCATTCACTTGTTTGTGGCATTGTGTGAAGAGCGTTAAATGTGGGTTTGAATCCAATATGAGAATTTTTTTTTACATTTATAATATAATCGTATTGTTATTAAGTTTATTATGTACAAATTTTTATGCCATTGTTGTAAATAATAAAAATAATAAATTTAAAATTCAATTGAATTTTAAATTTATTATTTTTATTATTTACAACAATGGCATAAAAATTTGTACATAATAAACTTAATAACAATACGATTATATTATAAATGTAAAAAAAAATTCTCATATTGGATTCAAACCCACATTTAACGCTCTTCACACAATGCCACAAACAAGTGAATGGCACTTCTGCAGAGGTATTAACAGTTCTAGAAAAACTTTACTTCTGATTTTCTCAAGAATGCCTGAATAGTGGATCCTGTACCTTTGGAAGAGTTTAAGTATGAGTAAATATTACACATTCACAAAATTTCGTCGAAATCGGTGATGACAACCTCCCAGTTCTCCTTGTAAGTAGTAAGAATGCTAGAAATATTTACAAAAACATCCCTGTAACACAACATTGAACTAGTCAATACACAGGGTAAAATTCCTCAAATATTATGGAAGAGAATATGATTACTTTTTACTAATTACATCATTAATAAAATACTTGGATAGAGTCTAATGAAAATTCGAGTAAATATTAGATCATGTATTTTCTGATAACTAACAAAATATTTTACTGTTATTAATCTATTAAAACTTGTCTATCAATACTGATATTGCCACATGCTATAAAATTGGCAATAAGCTAATACTAAATGCACTGAAACTGCTGAACAGATATAGTACAGAAAAACTATGACACATTCTAAGGGTACATCATACACAGCAGTGAACACACTTCCAAGGGGAGAGGACAAATTGGTTCAACCAAATGTGCATATCATGCAGTGACCACTAGATGACGCTTCTACATGCGCAAGCAGGAAGCAGCTATCAAACAAGTTTGATTGCTGCTTCCATTGCTTGCACTTCCAAAAAAGAAAATGGCTGATTTTGTAGATGAATGAAGACAGAATATACAACGTATATACACAATTTTTTTGTCATACTTTAATACCCTTCCTGCCCGCGCTCGAGTGTGACTCGAACAAGTTTTATAGCGTTACGTAAAAAACGGTCGTTTAGGCCACTTTTGAAAAAATGTTTTTTTTTTTTTGAATTTTTGGAATGTTTTTTGTCCCCAAATTTTTTCAAATTTTTTGCCCGCGCGAAAAAATTTTATCGCGACTTTAATGAGCCTTTGTTAAGGCTTAATCGCCTTTTAATGTTTTTTTAATGGGAGTTTTTTATCTAAATTAATTAATCGTTCTAAAGTTGTAGTGCACCGATTTTCCTTCGGTAAAGTTATTTAAAGCTGCTTTCTGATGACAAAAACGACCTCCGATAGTTTTTTAATTTTTTTAATTAATAGATTTTATTATATATAAGTTTAATTAATTAGGGGGGTCGGAAATCGCAATAAAAATTATAATTTTTTAAAAATATTTAAAAATATAGGTTTAGTTTCTAGTCACCCTACTTTAAACCCTTCTCCTCCCGAGACGTTTATGAGAATGTCCCGGGAAATATGACACCAGCTGTTCTCAAGGTCATCCAG